AAAAAACACCAATCGTATTCCCTCTCAAGGTGAGGAACCAAAAATAAGAAGGTGTAGTAGATGCCATAGCACAGCTCATAATGCAAGGACGTGTAAGGAAATCGTTCCAAATAACCAAAGTAAAAGTAAAAAACGTACTGGGGCATCAGGGAGTGGGACAAAAGCGAAAGAAGAGGAACCGACGCAAGCGACCGAAAACCAATGGCAGAATGAGCCAGAGAACCAATGGACGCAACATACAGAACAACAATGGCAGCAGCAACCAGACAACCAATGGACACAACAGACTGAACAACAATGGTAGCAGCAACTAGACAACCAATGGACACAACAGACTGAACATCAATGGCAGCAGTAGCCAGACAACCAATGGACACAACAGACCGAACATCAATGGCAGCAGGAGCCACATAACCAATGAACGCAAGGGACCGAATACCGACCGCAGGAAGAGCCACATAACCAATGGCAGGGTTGCACCAAGTACCAATGGCAGCAACAGCCAGATAACCAATGGACGCAAGCGACAGTAAACCTAGGGACACAAGCAACAGAAAACCCATGGACGGAATACGAAAACAAATCAAAGTTTCCATGGTTCGATTTGAATGAATGAATTTTATTTCATAGTATGTTTATTATGAAGGTTGTATGTTTATGTTTTCTAAAGTATGTTTTGTAACCTATAAAAAACATGGAATATTTGTATAATTTTAATTAGGTTATTTATATGCACCGGTTTGTATTACGTTATTTATATGTATTTGGTTTGTATTAGGTTATTTACGAAACTAGTTGAGTTAACTTATACTTTATACCATAGAACATAAAATACAAAACAGTAAAAATAAATGGAAAACATACATCAGTAGCAAACGTATTACATAAAACATTTCATTATTTTTAACTTTTTTTGTCAAATTTTTTTACATAATAATCACATAAGGTATTAGTGTATTTAAAAAAAATTAATATTAATAAACGGAAATGAACGCAAAAAAAAAACGAAAAAACGAAAAAAAATTAAAAAAATCAAAAAACAAAGATTCCGCAGAGCTGTAGAGGATCCGTAGAGCCTTCAATGGATCCGCAGAGGGTGTTCTGCGGATCCTTTGGTCATTTTCCAAAATCTATTTTTTCTTGGTTATTTTCTTCAAACCATCTCCCCTTTTTGGTCATTTCTCGAATTTTCTCCTTCTATGTTGACACCTTTCACCCCGATTTAAAATGTTAATATATTTTTTGATTTGTATATATTTGATCATTGAGTTTTTTTCGTTCATTTTTATCCCTCCAATTTGTTTAAACTGTACATATTCAATCCTTATCAACGGCTACTCCAAATAAACGGAAAAAAGTGACTTAATACAATAATATATTTTTCATTTGTACACATTTAGTCCTTAATATTGTTTTTGTTGCAAAATTAGCCCTTATTGTTTTTGTACACATTTAATACGTATGACCGGTTTCTTTAGATTTTTCTCACAACATGCTACGTGGGATAATCATTAATAAGGTGTTCGAGGATGTTGATGCTTATGGCCACTGCGGTCTCGGCTGCTTAGGTCTTGTGGTTTGGCTTCAGTCTTGTGTTCTAAACGACGTAACTTCTTCATACGATCTCAGTTTTTAATGATCATTATATCTGCTTGTTCGTATTTAAGTCTACTACAATTTTTGTTTAAATTACTCTCGTTAAAAGCAATATATTTTTACTTACAATTTTATAAAAAAGCGTTCATACATACATTCATAAAGAACGTATGGATATAAAGATCGTAAGTAAAAATATATTATTTTTAAGGGTAGTAATCTAAACAAAAGTGTAACAACCCAAAAAACATGATAAAATTTTTCATTTAAAAATCAATAGTTCCAATCACCAAATAGGTCCAAGTCAATAAGAGTGTACAATATCCAAAACATCAGAGTAATAGTATCCAAAAAATGTGGAATCATGGGAGGAGGATGTTGTGCCATCACGCCGAGCTCTTCCTATTGGTACCGGAAGTACCTGAAATCATAAACATAAACTGTAAGCATAAAGCTTAGTGAGTTCCCCCAAAATACCACATACCAAACATATAAATTGGGCCTAGCCCTAGGGTATATTCCAACCCAATAAACAAATATGGGCCCAGCCCTGGGGTTTATTTCAACCCGAGGGTTTATTTCACCCCGATCATATGATAATGGGCCCTGCCTTGGGGATTATTTCAAATTGATCATACAATAGTGGGCCCCGCCCTAGGGTTTATTTCAACCCGATCATATAATAATGGGCCCCGACCTAGGGTTTATTTCAATCTGATCATACATACATATATGTAACAGTCACATAACAGCTAACATTCTACATAACAGAATAATGGGCCGACATGGGTGCCTTCGACCCATGGACACAGTGAGGAGACTCACATCACAGTCTAAACAGATAGCTGGATAAGACACTGCTCTGAATATCAACTCTACCAGTCACCTATACATAAAATAGTGACCAATCTCAACTACAACTCAAAATACCCAAAATACCCTTAGGTAAAACTTGGTCAAATCCTGGTCAAAGTCAAAAGTTAACCGAGTCAACTTAGTTGAGTACGCCCAACGTACTCAGCTTGTACGCATGACGTACTAGCGTATTGACAAAAAAAAATGGGCCTTTGACCACGTACGCGCAACGTACGCCCAACGTATGCACCCGCCACCTTTTCCTTCTATTAAGAGCTTAATCCCTTAAGCTATTTCGTCCAAAATCCAGATCTAGTCTTCAAATGATGTCCTTAATCATAAAGTTTTCAACTTTATGATCTTGCATGGCTATTAAGTGCTCAATACCAAAAACCATAACTTCTTAACTCATTAAGACATCCTAGTCCATGCAAGGAGGAAAACTAAGGACCAAGATTATATTTTATGATTCTAAACACTCCAAAACGTCTGAAAGGACAGTTCAAATGAATTAGAGTAACCCATACTCAAATACATCAAGCTTATGGGACCAAAATGAGCACAATCCATGGCTAAGCAAGATCTAAGAAAAACTTCATCAATATTAGAGCTTTTTACCTCCAAGTGGTGCAAAATGATGATGTGCTTTTGGATCCAAAGTGCTTCAAGCTTCCAAAATGATTTCCTTTCCTTCTTCTTCCTCTAAGAACACCAAAACACACACTAATGGCTCAAAGATGCTCTCAAAATGGATTAGGGTTTGCAAGGATCGATATAAGGGATGGAGGCTGATGAAAGAAAGGGTATTGAGGCTATAAAGGTGTTTAAATAGTGCACAAGCCCTAAATATTAGGGTTTTGGTCCAGGCCACGTACACCTAACGTACGAGAAGTACGCCCAACGTACGTGATGAGACATGTTTTTCCTCTAAAATTCCACAAGGGACCAATTTGCAATCAATTTTACCTATAAAGGAAACAAATGGAAATGCCTGAATATCAAGATGTTACAAAAAAATTTAGTAGACTCAAATATGAATGCATGAATATAAATATCGTTAAAATCTGAGATCATATGAAGAAGTTACGACGTTCATAACACAAGATCTAAGCCAAACCACAAGACCTAAGCAACCAAGCAGCCGAAGCCGCAATGGCCATAAGTATCAACAATTCCAAACACATTATTAATGATTGTCTCACGTAGGATGTCGTGATAAAAACAACAAAGACTTATTTTGTAACAAAAAATTATTAATGACTAAATGTGCAAAAAAATATCAATGACTAAATGTGCACAAAGTGAGAAATATATTACCTTGTTAAGTTATTTTTTTCTGCTTACCTGAGTACACGGTCATAAGGACTGAATGTGTACAGTTTAACAAGTCAAAGGGGTAAATGTGAACAAAAAAAATACAGTGGCCAAATGTGTAAAAATAGAAAAATATATTACCATTTTAAGTCATTATCCCTTTTTCAATTGAAGTTATTTTATTAAAAAGTTCTAACAAAAACATTTTATATTATAGATGCTTTGAGTCGGTTCTATTTGGAATGCGTTCTGGATCGAATTGGGTGACGTTCCAGATTTCGTACTTAGATATAAGTGGATAGTGCATTGGGTATCAGTGGATCGTGGACTGCCTAGATGGGAACATGATTGGGACATCTTGATTTTGGCCTTTTCTCAAGCCTAATCCAGTTCGATTTCATCTTTGAAATGTACATGCTTTTGTTCATCGGTTACATTATAAATAACAAAAGATTTCATATTGAGAATCGATTTAAATGGTTTTATTGGATAAGTCGTTGATTGGAACCGAAAAAAGACAAAGTGTTAATTAATTTCACATTTTGATCGTATTGTTTTTTACTATTTTGTTCTTATTTTTTTTACTATGAACCTATGTTTTTAAAGTTATCGACTCATGATGTTTTTAATTACATTGTTTTTAAACTTTTCTAATTAATCATATTGCATATTTTTATGTTTTAGATATTGCACTTTGCACCAAATTATATGGTATAACGTACCAAAATCGTGTTCCTAATGGGCCTACCCCCTCGTACTGAAATTTAGAGGTCCGCAATCTTTGCTCCAGTTTTCATTTCACGTTTCCTGCAACTCCGAGTCACACATGTATGTTAGAAACTCGGAACAACCAAATCATCAAAAATGACCAAGTTACTGTTGTTTGTTTCTTTATAGGTGGGAACGACTTTTCACATGTTATATATATTAACAGTGGCGGACGCAGAAGGTTTAGTAAGGGTGGCACAAAAAAAAATTTCCGAAAAAATATGAATTAGTAGTGGCACTTGTATTTTAATCCGCTGCACCTAATAGCAAAAACATAATTTTTTTTTACACTACGTGCCGGAATCGGAGCAGTGGCCCGGGACCTCCCGGGCACCACTAAGGTCCGCCACTGTATATTAACTGTAACGCCCCGATTCTCAGATATCATTTAAATAAGAGTTATTTGATGAAGCTCTACTCGACGAGTCGGTTGACCTACTCGTCGAGTACCAGCGGGGTGGGATCGCGTGTTAAGTGACCTACTCGACGAGTCCATATTGGGACT